CACTATTATTCGTTCTTCTAAGTGGAAAAAAGTTGAAAAAAAGAAGAACTATATAAAAAAAAAAAAGAAGAAGAAGAAGAAGAGCTATGATACAGTTTAGGTCCAATGCTGCTTTGCTGATTTTCTGTCCAAATGATCTTTTCAGTGCTGAAAGAGGGGTGTTGAAGTTTCCAAGTGTTACTATATTGGGTTCAGTGTCTCCCTTTAGCTCTAGTAATATTTGCATTTTATATTGGGTGCTCTGGTGTTGGGTGCATATTTTTATAATTTTTTTTTTTTTTTTTTTTTTTTTGCTGAATTGAGTCCTGTATGATTCTGTGATGTCCTTCTTTACATTTTTTAACTTAAGATCTCTTTCATCTGCTATAAATATAGTTACTCTGGCTTGATTTTGTTTTTTGTTTGCATGGAATATCTTTTTTCATCCCTTCTCTTTCAATTCATTTGTGTCTTTATAGGTGAGGTGAGTTTGTCATCCTTCTTTGCATTTTTTAACTTCAGATCTCTTTCATCTGATATAAATATAGTTACTCTGGCTTGATTTTGTTTTTTGTGTGTATGGAATATCTTTTTTCATCCCTTCTCTTTTAGTTCATTTGTGTCTTTATAGGTGGGGTGAGTTTGTCATATGCAGCAATAATTTGGGTCTTTTTTAAAAAATTAATTTGGCCAGTCTATATTTTTCAATTGAAGTGTTCAGTCTGTTTACATTCAAAGTTATTATTGATAAGTGAGAACTTACTCCAGTCATTTTATTGATGGTTTTCTGTTTTGTGTATCCCTTGTTCCTTATTTCCTTTCTTATTGTTTATTGTCTGTAGGGATAAGATTTTATTACTTTTTCTTTCTCCTTTTTTCAACTTTCCTTGTGAGTTTTATAATGTAAAATGCAAAATTATAAAACTCACAAAGGAAGATGTATATATTCTTTTGGACAAGGATGGATGTATATATTCTTTTTGCTGCCAGATGTACAATTATTTGACTTACTGTAAGGTCAGTCTAGTGGTGGTGAATTCCTTAGTTTTTACTTATCTGAGAAAGGTTTTATTTCTCCATCATTTTTGAAGAATAGCTTTGCTGGACATATATTCTTGACTGGTAGTTTTTCTTTTTTTCTTTCAGTACTTTAAATTTATCATCCCATTTTCTCCTGGCCTGTTAAGGTTTCTTCTGAGAGATATGCTATTAGTCTAATGTGGATTCCCTTTTATGAGGCTTGATGCTTTTCTTTTGCTGTTTTTAAGATAACTTTTTTTGTTTTTGTCTTTTGATAATTTAACTATACTATCTATGTCTTTTAGAAGACTTGTTTGGGTTAAATATTTTTGGAAAATTTTGTGCTTTCTGGATCTGGATATCCATTTCTCTTCCAAGACTTGGGAAGTTTTCTGCTATAGTTTCATTAAATATATTTTCTATGCCTTTTCTATTCTCATCTTCTGGAATTTTCATAATGTAAATATTTATTCACTTTCTGTGTCCCATAAGTCCTATAGGCTTTCTTCATTCCTTTTTGAAAAAGTTTTTTCTTTTATCTGCCTAAGTTATTTCAAAAGGCCTGTATTCAAGCTCATTCTTTCCTCTGCTTAGTCTAGTCTTGTTGAATCTCTATATTGCATTTTAAATTTTGTTTATTGAATTTTTCACCACTAAGATTTCCATTTGGTTCTTTTTATGATATGTATTATTTTGTTAAATTTCTCACTTAAATCATGAATTGTTTCCCTTGTTTTATTAAATTGTTTATCTGTATTCTCTTGTCTCTATCTCACTGAGTTTCCTTAAGATTAGTTTTTTGAATCCTTTTTCTGACATTTTTTATATTTCCTTATGATTGGGCTCTGTTACTAGAGATTTATTATCAGTATTATTTATCATTGGGGGATGTTATGTTTCCTTGCTTTTGATGCATTGTTATATTGATACATATGTACCTGGTAGAAGTGTTACCTCTTCCTATTCTATGGAGTGAGTGTCACAGAGAAAGACTTATTTTTCTTGATGGGTCTTGGGGTATCATTTGAGTGGAATGTGTTGACTTTGATTCTAGGTGGATGTAGCAATGTAGTCTTTGTACAGCTTTTTAGCTGTAATCCATGGTAGTGATATCTCAGTGGCCAAGACTGCAAGAGTTTGTGGTGGTTTCTGTACACCTTTTTGGGGAGTGATCTATTTCTCAAGTCAGGCATGTTTGTGTACAAGCTGTGGGTTGGCCAACTTGAGATCTGTCTTGTTGGGTTGGGGTCAAAGGGCAGTTACAGGGGCATGACTATGTGGCTTCTTGGACAGCCCCAGGCTATATCTGCCAGGGGTGGGCCAGACAGGGTGTTTCTTAGACCCTGGAGATAAGTATGTAGCCACTCAGCCAGTCCAAGAGTGTGTCTTCTGAGAACAGATCCACCAGGTTGTGTTGTAGTTTCTAGTTGCAGACGTGGCTGTTCTGTTGGCCTGGAAGTATGTCCATGGGAGGCAGGCCTGCCAGGCTGTTTCTCAGGCCCTGTGTGTAGCCATGGACCCAATGTACAAGTCTGGGGACATGTCCTCTGGGAATGAACCCCCCCCAACTCTGTCTCATGCCCTAAGCATAGGTGTAGAAATGCCTAAGGTTGTTTCTGTCTTGTGAGGGGCTTATGGGGATGTTTCTCAAGTTCTAAACAAGGACACAGTGCTGCTGGGCAGGCCTAGAGGAATGTTTGTGGGGAAGGGAATACAAGGCTGTTTTTCAGGCCTTGGGTGGGGATGGATATCCACTTAACTGTCCTGGGGGCATGTCAGCTGCTGAGTGGCTCAGGGGTTTGGGGGAGGGTGAACAGTGGTTTGACTGGTTCAATCAAGGGTTTTCCCTAGGTCAGACTGCCAGAATATTTGTCTGGCTGGAAGTATGGGCAGAGGGGGTTGGTTTCAGAGAGTCACAGGACCAAAGAGTAACAATATAGCCTGGGTTCAGGCTCCATACAACTAGGGTTGTGATGGGTTAAGGGGTTGGAGAGGTGCAGTAGCTCCTTTCCTCTAGAGCAGAGTCACTCCAGAAGTGGCTCTGGTCTCATGTGGTGCCATGCCTCAGCAACTCACTCACTGGGAGTGCATGGAGGAATGGGGAGTGCACAACTTATGCTTATAATCCATAGCAATGCAATTGTTTGAATTCTTGGTAGCTCTCCTATAGGCAAAATGCCTATATGCTTCTGGGCAAAAAAGCTGTTTGAGAGAGAGTAGTGAAAAGACTTTGTGCAGGCATATTGTTAAGAAACTGAGGCAGAATACCATGTGGCCAGGTTGATTGTGAGCCTAACATGACCAAGGCTTCAGCTAGAATAGCATTTACTGCGTTAAGGACTTAAGGTTGACTTTATAAGGCCAATGAAAAAGCCCTTTGAAAAACTGGCCAGATACCCATCAGTAACTTTTCCTGATCTGTGGTAAGTAATGAAGGTCACTTGCTGATGGGTCTGGGAATGGAAATGTGCTCGGGGACTTCAAGAGAAGAGGAATTTATCCAATGCATATAGGTATCTAATGGCACAGATGAAACTTGGGCTTGTGAAAGGCTTTTGAGAAGTCCAGCCTGAAAATTCCTTATAAAAGTTTCCAGCAAAAAAGGCCTACATGGGAGCAGAGGTTTGCCCACAAATTCCAGTATGCCCAAAAAGTTTCCTTATGCCTTGTTTAAAGATCTGAAGTAACAACCTCCAAATGGCAAGGCCAGCAAGGGCAGGTATTCAATCTACCTTGTTCCTCCATAGCCTCAGACATCATCAGATAAGAACAAAGAAGTAATGGCTAACAACATATTCTCATTAAGTTATGTTAAATTGGGTTATGTTGAAAGGGTTATATCAAAAGGTGTATGTTGAGTGGATTATCGGAAGCTAATCACGAGGTAGTCACATGATGTTTAAATGGATCAATGAGGTCATTGCTGTATTGTGCACATGTACAAAATTCCCTATATAAACCAACCACAAATAAAGAAACTTGCCATTTTGCCTGAGGGAGCAGATGGTCACCTTTATTTAAAACACAATTTCAATAAGTGTGCTTATTCTCTGTGACATCACTTTTTCTGTGAGACCCTAACAGCAACACTCTCCAAACTGGGATCAGGGCTTGTAAGGATTGTAGGATTATAACTTAGGAAGGACTATAAATGTTTGTGGTGGCACTAGGGGCTGGTAGGATTCTTCTGCTTACATTTCCTCTGCAAGGGGGCATCCCTCTTGACTCTGGGCCAATCCAGGTAGGGGTGGTGGTGGGGATGTGGCAGGGTACCTTTATGCTGCTCTCCTGGACTTCCAGTGACTTCCAGTACCTCTCTAACACTTTGCTGTGCTCCAGTGCTCTCCTTTCCACACTCCTCCTGGCTAATGTTACCTGTTTGTTGCCTAGTTCCATTCTTGTAGAGGGGGATGATAAACTTCCTCTAGTAAGCCAGTTTTCTAACATCTGCTTTAATTTTATATTTCATTTTTTACTCTTACAAAGCAGGGTAAATGAGAATGGAAGAAGGATGGATGAATTATTTTGAGTTATGGTTCTGAGATTCTTGACAAAGGGCTTTGTTTTATCCATCTGGGTGAGGTGCCCACCATTAGACCAAACAAATTTAATTAGGGGATAGAGGGTGACATCTAGAAAAAGGAGTGTAAGTGGACCAACTCATGTGAGATGTCCATATCAGACCATTCACTTGGTTGGGGAAGGAGGAAGAAGTGAAGGCAGGGTTACCTTATAAAAAGAAATAGTCAACATTATGAGGTGTCTTATCAATGGGATGGGAAGTCATTGATTAATAACCTATAAATGTAATTTTCAAGATGTTAACATGACATTCCTCTCAATGATGGTATAACTTATAATTTCTATTTTCCATGAGTGCTGCATAATTTTTGTTATGCTTAACTGATTGTCTGTTCTATTGAATAAGACTATGTGAGATAGTGGTTTCTACTCTGAGTACATAAAGTTGGTTTCATTGTCTTTCTCTATATATTTTCTAGCTTCAAATAGTTCAGACACGGATGGAAATCAGACGAAACAGAACTCTTCAGTACCCCTCTCAGAAGGTAACATGCTTCCTTTTGCAATGGCCAGTACCAGGGTGATGGAGGGTTGAACTTTGTAGAAACATTAGCTGATATCCTGGCTGGGGGAAGCCTTGTAACTATGTGAAGAATATGGTGATCTGAGCACTGTGAGCTGAGGAACTTTCCAGTTGTTCCTAAAGAAGCCATGTTCTTGCTTGTCTCTGAACCTTTGCTAAGTTGTGGTGGTGAAAAGAGAGTAGATTTAACGGCTTCTCAGATCTGTGTGAAGCTCGGTCCTGCCTCTTTCTTCATCTAGTTATGTGATTGCTATTGGACTGTGAAATGCCCGGCTTCAGTGCCACAGAGAGACAAGTGATACAAAAATAAGAGAGAAGAGAGAAGTTTAGCAAAACTTTATTTTGTTTACATAAACACAAATGTCCCACCATAGCTGGTCTAGCTCAGGTTACAGTAATGCCATCACTGACACTTGCCCCTGTTGCAGATGACAGATACTATTATTTCTCAGTAGGCTCCTATCAGTCATGGACATGTTGTATCAGTTTATAAGAAGCCTGAGGTTCTATGTTAGAAGATGCTTAAAGGACCCAGGCTTAAATTTTACCTTAAAAGATGAACAAGGCTCGGCGCCTATAGCTCAACCAGCTAAGGCGCCAGCCACGTACACCTAAGGTGGTGGGTTTGAATCCCCAGCCCGGACCCGCCAAACAACAATGACGGCTGCAACCAAAAAATAGCCGGG